AAGATCCAAAATCGATCTGATTCTTATGTCAGAGGATCTAGCGGGAGCAATGCAGTTCGTATTTATACTTCCACGCAGTCCCTTTACGGGACTTGACCATGAGGTATGCGGAGTTACCCTTACTTTTCGCCAACGACCAGATTCTGGTCCAGGCTTTTTCAAACTCAATACCTCTCTCATTCACAAACGAGAATTCAAACATTTAGTCCAAAATGTGTGGGCCTACTAGCATCAACAGAAAATACATTTTGACTCTGAAGTCACCTGGTTCAATAACGGACTCTTTTACCTGGGTCGTAAGTGCAAATAATTTTCTAAAAAATTAGCAGTCAAACGTCATCAAGAGGAAATGAATATTCAATATCAGATTCAAAATCTGCAACAACAAGACCCTACCCTTCACCTCCAGACACTCCAAGACCAGCTGCTCGACTTTGCAACTTACAGATGGAATGGTATAAGAATCAGAGGTAAGATATCCAGACACTGCACCGAAGGGTCCATGGAGTCTGACTTCTTTGATCTAGCAAGAGTTAGAGCAAAGAGGCAGACTATAGAGGCCTTCCTGGACCCTGTTACACCAGTGAGGCCGCTGGCCACCTCTACGCCGCAGTGCATGAAGGTGGTCGGGGACTTCTATAAGGATCTTTTTACGTCTCGTACCCCAGATGACAACAACCCCACAAGAGCGAGAGAAATAGAGGACTTCCTCACCCCGCTTACCAAATCGCTTCCACAACAAATGCAAGAGGATCTCGACCTCCCGATCACCAAGGAGGAGACATGGACGGCTCTCATGCAAATGGAGGAAGAAAAGCCCCCAGGTATAGATGGATTTCCAAAGGAATTTTGGGAGGCCTTCTGGTCCTTGATGGCGGATGACCTGATGGCCTTTTTTTGCAAGGTATGGGAAGAGGGAGTGATGGGGGAAGCGGTGGGTCAAGGGGTCCTCACACTGCTGTATAAAAAAGGGGACAAAATAAATATCCGCAATTATCGCCAAATCACATTGCTAACAGTGGTCTACAAAATGATATCTAAAACATTAGCGAACCGCATAGCGCCTACATTACAACAAATTATTCACCCCTCCTAAACGGGCTTCCTAAAAGGGAGACGCATTCACGATAACATCCTCCTAGTTAATGAGCTATTGAGGCTATCCCGACAGTCCAAATGCAATGCCGCCTTCCTCTTTATTGACTTTGAGAAGGCATATGACCATGTGGACTGACACTTTCTGGATAAGTGCTTGGAAAAAATGAACTTCGGGAGGAACTTTAGGAGGTGGGTGAGGATACTACACAGCAACGCCACCACTCGTGTGCAAATCAATGGGAACCTCGCTCCGGATTTTCCACTACAACGATCGGTCCGCCAAGGAGACCCAATAGCACCGTATCTTTTTGTGGTTGTGATGGAGGCTCTAGCGGCCAACCTTAGCATCATGATGGCGGAAGGCCTCCAGAGCAACCCAGGGTGACATGGCTCCCTCTAGAAACTCTTATTAGGGTATTGGGAATCCCACTTTCGGCAGATGGCAAGCCACCTAGCAATGATAATTGGATCATGCAGTTGGCCCTGCGAAAGATAGGTACCTGGAAAGACAAGAACACGTCCCTCATGGGTAGAGCACTGGTCATAAACAATGTGGTACTGGCGTCCATCTGGTATAAGTCTGCAATCTGGCCTCTTTCTGGGAGGGCGTCCAAGACCCTAAAACAACAGGTGGCGGCCTTCCTGTGGAGACGGAACCATGAAGCCCAGCACGCCATCAGCCGCGTGGCCTGGGATGCGCTGATACAAACAAGAGCACAAGGAGGCCTGGGCATTCTTGACCCTGCCACCCAAACAGCAGCGCTTTCTCTTCAATGGCTGAAACGACTTATATGTACCTCCGAACTCACTTGCGAACCTCTAGCCTGGGAACAACTGTCGAGATTGGCCCCAATTACCACACCCTCAACACATCCCATGGCCTGGCTAGATGACGTCTTCTGGACAATCCCTAGACCCTCATCCAGTCCCCGACCACATTCAGACCGTGCAGCAGCCCGTCGGGACCTGCGGAATGATGACTTCTGGTCCAAATTAATTAAGGACTGGAAGAGACTCCCGCTCCCGGATAGGCCATTTCCCGAAAGGTGGGAGGAGGTCGCTCGCCAACCACTATTCGGGAACCGCTGGATAACGGACCGGCAGGGGAGGGTATTACTCAGCTCAAACAATCCATGGACTGGATGGGCAAAAAACGGGATCACAAGGGTTGGGCATCTATGGGACCAATCCAAAAATGGCTGGCTCTCTGAGGAGCAGCTGAGAGAGAAGCTCCCTCATTGCCACAGGATAGGGGAAGGACTAGACCAGATTCTTTTTGCTCTTCCCCTCACATGGGTACGGACTCTTCGGCGGGGGCCAACCATAGAGAAGGGAGACTGGGTAGTGTTAAGAGGAGATGCAACCCGGGTGGGGCAAGTAATAACAGATAGACTAAGGGAGGTGTTGGTAAACCTGTTCTACCGAACACAGCAGAACCACCTAATCCGGGGCGAGCCGGATGAGGTCTTCTGGATTGATGTTAACTTACTCCATAGGGTAAGAGTCCTAAACAAAAGCGAAACCTGGGTGGCTTTTAAGCCAGAGATACCTATTCAGGATTTCCCAATAGATGTAGCGGAGTGGAGATGGGAGATTTCCGACAAGAAATGGGAGACCCAGATATCGGTACCTCCATACACTAGAAGTCAAAGTGACCTATCGGATGCTTAGGACTAAAATAAAACTAAGAGATCGCATCATAGACCGCTGGGCACGCCGCCTCAATGTACCTATGGAATCCTTGAGACCCATTAAATGGTTCAGAGAGGTGAAAAGCAAACCAACCAAGTCTGCATCGTTGCAATGGAAGATCAACCACCGATGCCTTCCGACGAATGCATGGCTCATTGACCATACCCACCTGGAGCAGAAAGGGAGGGCTCTCCCCTGGTGCCATGCATGCAAGGAGGGCTTCCCCTCCCGGAAGATTAACGAAACGATAGAACACCTCTTCCTGCAGTGCCCTGCCTCCATTCTCACTTGGCGGGGCTGGGTCCGGGTATGGAACCGATTAGACAACAGATAGAGATTGGCCATGGGAATGGAGGGCCCTGCTAACCGGTCACTGGAACGCCCAAACCTCGAACTTCACATCAAACCTGTTCAGGATGGGAAGGGAAGCTGTGCTATCGGCCATATGGCGACGCAGGTGCACTCTAGTTCTCGAAAATGCTCACATGGGAAGCGGCGAAACAGCAGAAATTATTAAAGACATGATTGAAACAGCAATTAGAGCTCGCTGGAGAAAGACAGTACAAGAGATGACAGCTCTCACAAGAAGAGCAGACATCGCTCAAAAACTAAACGAATTCTGCATGGACTGGCTGGGGGGGGAACAGGGGGGACGGATTGCATGGATACAATGCGATGGCTGGCTGTTGGATGACGATGATCGTTTAGAAAAATCGCAGAAAATTTATCGATTACTCTTCCATAAATGGACTGAAATCCCCAGCAACATCCCACTCCCCCCGGTTTCCGAGTTCCCTGATCTCTTTCCCCCATCAAACAACACCTTAGTCAAATTGAGTTGGTATGGCCGAGATACTGAGGAGCCCCGTCCAGCACAATCCAGGTGAGACTGGTCAGGATGGAGGAAGGGAATAGGAGTTTCAGTCTTCTGCCCCGGTCGCCCCCCGGATGCAGAACCTGCCTCCTTATCCCCACTCACACCTGGTCAGTCCACCCATGATTCGACTGGAATGACAGGTCCCCATATCTACAGTGCCTGTTGGAGAAAAGGGTGTGGGACCAGTACGTTGATGGATACTTGGCGCCAGAATTAAGGTGAAGAGGCCCCCCCCCAAAAAAAATAAAAAAATCTCTCTACCCTATGCGATGCGGGGAAAGAGCTGGATGGTGGGAGATATTTTTCAGCTTTCTAGTAGTTCCTTGTTTCAAAAAAAGGAGGGAGGAGGATGCCAGTACGTAGCAGTAGGAATCTGGCGCCGAAATCAGGGCGAAGAGGCTCCCCCCCCTGCTCAGTCAATCCCCTGGTCTCCAGGGCAATCAGTGCTGGCAGGTTCTTACTACGTTTCCTCTGATGTGTTCTGATGTATTCCAATTGTATCACACTCATAAGGGACGCTGGACCCGTTTTCCAGCAGGTGATGCTCCCCACCAATAGATGGAGCCTATCCCCGGGTGCTAGCGGTGTCTACTCTCATCAGCATCGCTAGCACTGGAGGGATCTGTTTCTCAAAAAAAAAAAAAAAAAAAAAAAAAATTCCTGGGATCGAGGGGCTCAATCAACCCTGATAGCCATAGTACTCGATCGAGCCATGAACGTCAGCTATGGTACTAGCGCTGATTGAGAACTCAACCTTCGAGCTCTGTTAGGATGTAAGTTGGGTGTGGGTGTGTCCCGAGCGGCCACAGCAGGACCTGACCAGCCACTTCCACTTGGCGCGCTGCTCCCACATTGGTCCAGGTTACAGGGCAGGATAACTCGCGCCAGCCAGCCAGCCGGTCAACACCGGTTACCTGTGTTGACTCGCAACAGGTGTTGATTGGTGTTGACTCGCAACAGGTGTTGATTGGTGGCCATGGCCAGTCAACAACGGTTACCAGTGTTGACTGGCCATGTGAGCTGGCCACCAATGCTCCTCAGGGCACTGAAAGTGACGGCAACGGGAAGATAACCCACTGCAGCACCTAGGTGGTGCCGCCACTCAGGCATGAAACCTACTGAGCTACCGACTTCACCTGAATAGAACGCCCGGTCATTATCGCTGCATCGGGACCGAAAGTTGTGCCAAATACAGCCATAATGACTGGGCGTTGTATTCGGGTGAAGACTGTAGTCTACGGGACACCACCACCTATGCCATAAGCTTTACAAGAAAAGAAAAGAAAAGAAAAGAAAAAGCATAACCTTGCTGTTCATCCACCCTCACCTATGCCATAATCCTGGCAGTTTATTCGCTTTCACAAAAGCCATATTAAGCCATAATAAGCCGTGGAGGACCAGACAGTGCGGCGATGGTGTTGACAAGTTTTGTGTTCAAGTTACCGACCTCCAAATGGTCATAGTCAGCTGCATTGTATGCTGCTCTTCTGCCATCCCCTCCTGCTCCTTTTCCAGAAGGGCTGTCTTCATCGTCGGAAGAGTCGTCGGACTGCGGGGCCTCACCCTTGGAGGACCGGACGATGCCTGAACCCCCATGTTCTCCCACTGACAGGCGACCAGATTCGCTGCACCACCAACCAACAAAAGGGGGGCAGGGACAAACCAAAATGGATATGCAATGAGCTGCAAACAGCAGAAGGTTCCTTTTCCCTGTCCAAAAGAGAGGAGGGGTTGGGGAGGGGGGGCGGGGGGCGGGGGACTGGGGGAAGTGAAATACAGTGAGTGGTCAGCCCAGGCCATGAGGCTGAATGGTACACACAAATATAGCGGTTAGTAAACAGAGCAAGAGTTCAAAGTCGGATGGAATCAGATGAAAACAGTAATTTTTTTAATTTTTTTTTTAACACAGTAGGTGTTTGGGCATAATTGTGGTCTGAGGTTGTGGGTTCAAAACTCCGAGCCTCTGCGCAGCCACCCCGGCTGGCTGGCGTTTACATAATGCATGGTCACGAGCATACCCCCTTGGGCTGATGCAGGTAAGCTATTACAGGCACTGCCTGCGCACCACCCAAGGGTTAGTCCATGGTGGTGGTTGTTTTTTTTCTGTTTTTCTTTTTGAAAATGTTGGGGCTTGATTATGAGGGAGGTTGCCCGAGGATGTTGGCCATAGATTGTTCTGATGATCCCCCTCAGTCTGGCATAGCGTACATTGGCACCATTTGAAACTGTAGTACATGTGGTTGAGGACGACTGTTATAGAATGATGAACATGGGTTCAACTACAGAGAACAACATAATTTCTATACACATACTACACAACATATACAGCCCACAAATACACATACGATGCTTACGGATGGATATGGCCTATGCATAGATACTCCAGCTGACGATACACATACAGTTAACATCAGTGCCAGGGAGGGGTATCCAGTCCTTACTAGGGTGTCATAGACTCAATCTGGGTCTGGGGGGCCTTTCAGATGGGGGTCGGTAACTAGGGTTGGGTAGGGGTTTAACACCCCACCCACTCTGGGCTTGCCCGTGAGCCGCCTAGCCCTGGGCAAGCTGGGCCAGTCAGGGCTTGTCCGTTGAGTCTGCCTAAGTCTGGCTGGTGCCTCGGTAGGATTCTGGGTAGTAATTGTGGGGCTGATAGGATACTGCTTGTGCCTGGCGTCCGAAGTTCCCCGGTGGCAAGGCTCACTCACCTGTGCTTCAACTAGGGTTGGGACGGGGATAATACCCGCTCCGGGCTTGTCCCGGGCGTGTCCCGTTGAGCCTGCCTAGTCGTGGTGCCTGTAACTGCTATTCGGTCCAAGTCTTTTTTCTTTTTTTTTTACTACTGGTGACTGCTCTTACCAGCACCCCTAGCATCCGCTCGGGTTGTTTTCTCCCCCCCCCCCCCCCCCCCCCAAAAAAAAAAAAAAAAAAAAAAAAAAAAAAAAAAAAATTGGTCCAAGTCATGCTCTGAGATAACGAGGTGATAGTCCAAGGTGATTAACACTGAGGTAGGGTAGTAAGCACTCTTTCTGCATTCTTCTGCATTCTCAATCCTAGGGCCCTATGGATAGCGGGGGGAGGGCAGGGGTTAAGAGATGGACGGAGAGCTCACTGGTGCCCCCCAGTGCCCCGCTCCAATCCTCGACCCAGCTGCAGGATAGGCAAGGAAGTGAGTTTTTTTGATGACTTTGATATGGGACGCTGGACCCGGTTTCCAGCACTAGGGCGTTTTAGCAGGCCTCTGTGGTCTTCTGTATTTTCTGCATCTTCATTTTGTATTCTGCATTCTCAATGTTAGGCGCCCTATGGATAGCAGGGGGAGGGCAGGGGTTAAGAGATGGAGGGAGAGTTCACTGGTGCCCCCCAGTGCCCCGCTCCAATCCTTGACCCAGCTGCAGGATAGGCAAGGAAGTGAGTTCTTTTGATGGTTTTGATATGGGACGCTGGACCCGGTTTCCAGCACTAGGGCGGCACCTGTTCCATCGAGCTATTAAAAGATGTATCCAGGATGTATCATGGGACGTTGGACCCGTTTTCCACCAGGTGACGCTCCCCACCAATAGATGGAGCGGCCCGCCAGGCAAAGCCTCTATCCCGGTGGTTCTCTTACCACCACCAGGATGGAGGATTTGCACAAGGAGGTAGGGTAGTAAGAATAGGGGGTGCGCTGGGAGAATGATGAGAGGATGGGTCGGGAAGCGGCCGCACAAATTGAACGATTGTCAGGACAACCAATGGCTGGCTGGTGCAGCAACCACCGTGTGCCTGGTACCCGGCCTCTACAACAACCTGGACTTATAAAGAAAAGAAAAACGAAAAAAGAAAAAAAAGAATTCTACTAAGCCCTGGACAGGATTGTGGTCAGGTTCATCGATGGCCGTAGTTGCAGTCAGATAAATTTTAGGAAACGCTGTATAACTTGACAGTCAAAGCCACATACAGCTTACTCCGTCCAAAAATCAACCTCAGGGACCAGGTGGAAGAGCGATGGATGAAACAACTGAATATTGCTAAAGAATCGCTGCGGGGCGTGAAATGGTTCCAGCTCACCAAGAAGAAACCGGCAAACTTGGCATCCTTGCAATGGCAGATGGAACACCGCTGCCTACCAACCAACAACTGGCTGATAGACARAACCACCTTGGAACAGAGGGGGCTGGCACTCCCCTGGTGCAGAATATGCYCCAACRCATTTCCATCTAGAAAGATACCGGAGACACTGGAACACATATTCCTGCAATGCCCGGGAGCGGTCTGGCTTTGGCGCTGGTGGGACAGAGTATGGGACCAGTTAGGCACAGGGGTACCTTGGCCTTGGGACTGGAAAGCCCTGCTGTTTGAAAGGTGGCCTCTTGAACAGCCAGATGATTTCACACTCAATATCTTTCAACAAGGAAGAAGGGCAATCATGTGGGCACTGTGGAGACGCTGCACGTATGAAATGGAAGGAGTGAGGTTGGAGGGGCCAGAATTTACAGAGAGTATACAACAACAGATCCATACAACCATAATAGGGAAATGGGAAGAAACTAAAAAACAGATCAATCATATTCACACTGGGAAAGAGATACAACAGAGGATACTAGACTTCGGCAAAAACTGGCTCGGGGGGGAAATGGGGGGGAGGATAGGACGGGTGGAATGGAATGGAGGAAGCAGGGGACAAGGGGAAAGGGGCGACATGACAATTACCAAAGACTACAAACTCCTTTTCAATGACTGGACCAAACTGGATGACTCGACCCCAATGAGGCCGAGCAGCGACTTCCCGGATTTCTTTCCCCCCCCTGCAAACAGTTTAGTAGGAATTTCTTGGTATGGGGGAGAGTGATTGGGCCTTCAAGGTTTCGGATTTACCAGGGAGTTGTTGTCCTTTGGGTTTAGTAGGAATCTTCGGGTATGAGGAAGAGCGGTAGGAGTCTTCAAGTTTTCTGATGCTGTGTTTAACCATGTCTGGACGTGAAGGGAGGGACTAGAACGTAGAAGCAGATATCTGGCACCAATTTTAGGTGAAGAGCCCCCCCCCTCATAGCAATAGCCTGTCCAGTCAATCCCCTGGGTTCCAGGGCAATCAATGCTGGCAGGACCCCATCAAAAAAGAGATGATGTATTCAATGGGACGCTGGACCCGATTTCCAGCAGGTGCTGCTCCCCACCAATAGATGGAGCCTCCCCGACGGTGCTAGATGTGTCTGCTCTTATGTTCTTATCAGCACACCTAGCATCCAATTGGGTTGTTGAAAAAAAAAAAAAAAAAAAAAAAAAAAAAAAAAAAAAAAAAAAAGGAAAGTGTTTGTGTGAGTATGCCCTCAATCCTTCCAATCATAGGCGACAGTGTCACTGCTGGAGCACTTAGAGGCTCGCCACACAGGCTGTTGAAAACCCGGTTTTCGACGGTTTTGCATCGCCACACAGACTTCCGAAGAATTGCGGCTCAAAAAACTTTCGACAGGTGTCAGAATGGTCCTTTCGACAGCCGCCCTCCAGCAACCGTTTCCACCAGCCTGCAGGTGACGGAAATTGGACAGTGGCCCGCCGACCTTTCAAAAATTGCGTTCGAATTTGTGTTGTCAGGAACTGTTCCGTCAACTTCCGTGAAACCCGTCCGCCTGGCCATGACCAAAAGCCTTGTCCCTCGACAGCCTATGTGGCGAAGAGGGGGGAAATTGTCGACCGCCCGACTGTCGAAAATTTTCTGACACCTGTCGAAAATTTTCGACATTCGACAGCCTGTGTGGCGAGCCTCTTAGAACGCAATGTTCTGGATGGTTTCCCCTAACAGCTGGCTGGATTTTCATACCTTTGCTGGCGTGTGCTCCCTGACTGAGTTGCACAGAAGATGGAAGATGATAATAGCAAACAGGCCCACATTTCTCGCCACAAAAATACATGGTCCGCCAAAACAAACAAGTTCAAAAAAGGAAACGAAACGAAACAAAACGAAGCGAAACAAACAAACAAACAAAGAAACAAAGAAACAAAGCAAAGCAAAACAAAACAGAAAACATGACGATTATCAATGCATTCTGTAAAAAAAGGGTTGACAAGAACCTCGTTAGCTGCAACTGAAAATCCAGTCTATTTTTGGTGGGGAGCTCCACCTGGTGGGAAAAATGTTATTTTTAGCTGCAAATCCATTTCTTATCAGTGCGGTACAGAGTCCCCCAGATAGTGGCCCTCTACCCACTTTTCTTATCAAAGCAAGCAAACAGCTACTAGGGTGTCATTCAAACAAACATCATGCTGTTCACAAGCTTGCACTTCAACTCTCCGCAGAAGAGATCTACTCTCTGGCAAGATTTTCTGATCCCAATCATCTTCATCATGTATCTTGCTGCTGACTAGCTTCTCCACAGCCACAATTTCTCATAAGTGAGCTCAAGTGTATCTCAAATTTTCATGTTACATATTCTCAGTTGTATTTCAAAGGGACGCTGAGCCCGGTTCTCAGCACGTGATGGTCCCCACGAATAGATTGGAGCTTTTGTCCCAAAAAAAAAAAAAAAGAAAAAAAAAAAAAAAGTGTGAGTCCAAAGCTTCAATGTCTTCGAGTTACGAGTTTGAGCCAATTTCCAGCAGGTGCAACTCCGAGTCCCCACCAATAGATGGAGCCTTCAACACACAGGGATCCGCTTAAACCTCCAGCACTTCCTAAAGTTGTGCCCATTAACAAGCCACGATTTTAGGAAATGTACGGGCTGCTACAGGAGTGCCCAAATTCATCCGACTAGAAACATTTCTGGGCCAAGTGCGGGTGGTTTAAAAGGACTGCTCTTATCACCCTGTTAAGCGGAGCCCCTGGGATGTGAAGGTTTCCCCAGAAAAAGAACCGTGGCTGTGGCACACTTTTAGTTTGAAATAGGCAACAAAAGACAAAGTGGCGCCGATGTCATGATGTGAGTTTCGAAATGTGCAAGTTTAGTGGGGGTCTAAAACTGCACCAGTCATTACCCGCAGTGGCCCTTTTTTTTTTTTTTTTGCGAGTTTCGAAATGTGTAAGTTTAGCAGGGGGGGTCTAAAACTGCACCAGTCATTACCCACAGTGGTCCTTGGCAGATTTAGGGTCCCCTTTTTTGCGCCATCATTTCGGGAACCCCTAAAGTTGCCAACTCTGAACGTCAGGTGTGACTCCAACAACGTACTTGCCCGCCCCCCCAAAAAAACACAAAAACGACTTTTTGAGTTTGAGCTCAGCCCCTAGTCAAACATCTACAGGTCAGCCCACATCCACCCTGGTTGGCTCGAAATTGCCGAGCACGGAGACCACCGTCTACCCCCAACATCACCCACCCTGATTCTGATTCTGAATGTATACAAGCGATCTTCCCGGTTGGATGCAGTCGTAATGAGGGTGCGTTGTCTTCGTGGGAAGACGGCAGGTGCCGGTGGAACCTACCGTGTCGGGTGGTCGACCACCCGGGGCTAAGTCCCACTTACACGAATTATGCGATATCGACCGTAGATAGCAACGGCTAGAATTTCTTAATCCGTGCAAGTGGGACCTTGGCCCCGTAGCTGGCTGAGCCGGCCGACTACAGCCGGTAACGCTTCGGCGGTAGATTAGAGCGCTACACTTGCGCCAATCGCCGCCCACGCCGCCCCCCCCTGCCCCCGCCCCCGCCCCCGCCCTGCCCTCGCCCCCGCCCTGCCCTCGGCCCCACCCTCTCTCCACCTTTGCTAACAATCATTTTCGGCGGGACGGCCGATGGTGGCGCGCGAGAACGCACCGCGCGCACACTTGGGGTCGGGCTATGGGTCTCGCTCCGCTCCTCTCGAAATGTGCAAAAGGAGAGTGAATCTTCCCCTAGAACATGGAAAGATGCGCCGCCATTCATTTTTGTCGTTTGTGCATGTTGAGAGTAGTGGAGCGAGAAAAATAAAATAAAATAAAACAATAATAATTATAAAGAAACCAAAAAACAAAAAAACAGGAGTAGTGGAGCGAGGCCCTATGCTACGATGATCCTACAGTGCACTGTACGCTGAGACGGCCTCGCCGCACCACTCTAGACATGTGCAAAATGAGAAGGAACTTCTCCCTAGAACTTGGCCAGATCCACCCGCCACATTTTTGTCGTTTTCACATTTGCTTTTCGACGACGATGTGGCAAGTAACCGCGCCCCACTTGCTGCTCGACTCTGAGGGCCTCGCCACACCACTCTCGAAAAAGACAAAAATGTGGCGGGTGCATTTGGCCCTGTTCTAGCGGGAAGTTCATTCTCATTTTGCACATTTCGAGAGTGGTGTGGCTATGCCATGATGCCACCTACTGATACCACGCTCGGGCGTGGGGGCGCAGCCAGGATGGCGGCGGACGGGCAACCAGCCCACGAGGGCTTCGCCGCATTTTTGTTAGATAACTCACCCGAAGCTCGTCAGTTCAATTCACTGCAAGGTAAATGTGTCATTGGAGGTAACTTACCGCCATGGCACAGCGAAAAGTAGCTTGGAGGGTTGTCCTTTACCATATTGAGGTGGAAGTGTGGGGATCCGGGGCTGCTTGTTGCCGATGCCAATTTCCCATCTCCCACACCAAGGGCCTGGCTCCGCAGGAGCAAAAGACGAAAAATATGGCGCTGCATCTTCCCATCTCCTGGGGCAAGATTCATTCTCATTTTGCACATTTGGTGAGTAGTGGAGCGAGGCCCCAAGAGATCTGAAATAAGAGACCTCGCTGCACTACTCTGGACATGCACAACAGACAAAACTCACGGCCGTGTATCTTTCTATATTCTAGCGGAAGATTCACTCTCGTTTTGCACATTTCGAGAGCCGTCGTAGGTCCACTCTACAGGTAGGGGGTGCAGTAAGATCTTAGAATTTTGTTGGGAATCGGAAGGCTAGTTTTTAGGTGTTAATCAATAGGGTAAGGGGTCTTCTTTTGATCCGGCTCATCAGAGGTAGGTAAGAGGAATGGTTGAAGAATAAGTGAGGATTGGTGAAGCTAAACTGGCTGAGGCTGCCGGGATAACTCCGGGTTGAATTGTGAGGTCCCCGGCCTCATCTCATTTGGATTTATTATTTTTTTTTTTCATAAGGCTAATTCTTTAAGCCCAACCAATTCAATTACCTGCCCAAGAGATCTGAAATAAGAGACCTCGCTGCACTACTCTCGACATGCACAACAGACAAAACTCACGGCCGTGTATCTTTCTATATTCTAGCGGAAGATTCACTCTCGTTTTGCACATTTCGAGAGTAGTGCAGCGAGGCCGCACCTGTTCCGCCTGCACAAATATAACATACACACAATACAACCCCCCCCCCCAAAAAAAAACGACCATCTATCTTCCGGGCCTCGCAACAAAAAAAGCTCGCAAAGGATTCAGTCAGTCCGCCTCCGTCGATCTCCCAAAAGGATTCGGTCAGTCCGCCTCAGTCGATCTCCCAATGTAACAAATGGTCGGGTAACCGGTCGACGCCCTATACCCACTTACACCTATTTTTTAGGCCTAGTTGTACACGACTCTGCACGACAACACATCCGACAACAGCCGTCGACGACCCACATTGTGAATGCAGCTGGACAAACGTGGCTGCCTCGGTGCACTCGTCCGCACCCGGCCCTAAAGCTAGGTTCTATACGCAGCCACTGGGCAAAACGCATCCATCTATACGCAGCCATTCCTGGCTGCGAACACAACGCCTGGGTGCGTTTGGTCCTGTTCCAGCGGGAAGTTCATTCTCATTTTGCACATTTCGAGAGTGGTGTGGCTATGCCCTGATGCCGCCTACACAACTCTGGGTGGGCGTCTATGGGCATCGCCACACCACTCTCGCATCGCCACACCACTCTCAAAATATGCAAAATGAGAATGAACTTCCTGCTACAACATGGCCAGATGCACCCGCCTCAATTTTGTTTTTTTCACATTTCGAGAGGGGTGTGCCGAGGCTCATAGAGGCCCAGAGTAGCATCAGAGTCGAAGCAGAGGACCTCGAAGCAGACACACACAACGTACACAAACTCATAACGTACACGCACACGCGGTCTGGTGCTTCGTGGTCGTGAAGCTCTTGTCTTCATGGAGCTTGGGTTGTGGATCGTGAAGGTTGGAGCTTGTGGCTTGTGGCTTGGGCACTGCATTGCGTCAAGGCTTCCAGACGACCGCGCGAGCATGACGGACGGTGAGTTAACCCTCCTCGTGTATGGGTGTGCATGTGCTTCGACCGTCGATTTTGAGTTTCTTGTTTCACGATTCTGTCGTTTCTTTGCCAGCTTGGATATAGGGGAGAACCACTTGAGAGAGAGAGAGAGAGAGAGAGAGAGAGAGAGAGAGAGAGAGAGAGAGAGAGAGAGAGAGAGAGAGAGAGAGAGAGAGAGAGAGAGAG